ATATATATATGTATGTATATACACATATACATATGCATATACATATACATATACTTATACTTATATACACATATATCATATATATACACACATATACATATACATATACATATAAATATACATATACATATATATATATATATATTTATACATTTATACATACATACATACATACATACATACATACATACATACATACATACATATATTTATATATACATATGTATACAATATGTACGTATGATTATGCGGTTTGCGTACGGGCTACTTGTATTCCATGGTTCTGGCCTCAACGTTTTACGATTTCACGACTGCAGAAGACGATTTGCCGATTGATAAGAGCTGCCCGTTACCCCACAGCGGGCAGATAACAGGCCGCACAATAGATTTAGACTGACCCGGGAGTTGTATGTCATGCGGCGTCCGGATACAAAGCTGAGTTTCTACGCTCAGCCTCAATCCAAGAACCTGGTGCAACATAAACTCCACTCGGAGCACCCCCTTCAGAAGAGACCGACATGGACCGGCAGAGAGATTTTTGAGTGCTCCCCGGGCCCGGGAGCAAGATTCGGGCGCTTGCAGCCCATGACAAGTACGCGAAGCCTCACCCCAGCCCGACAGTCCTAAGCCTCAACGTAAACCCTAATATAGGGGGGTTCCTTATTATGATTATAGTACCATATGCCCCAAAACCCTCTTCTGATTATTGCGGCCCCTGCATTAACCCCAGAAGCCCCTTAATTTTGGTAACTCCTGAGGTCCCCCGAAACCCGGAGTCTTAAGCCCCGTTGTAACTCCACAACACGACAGTTGGCGCGGAGAGATGCAACGGCCGTGCCTTGCGCTTCCCATCCTCACCTGAACAGGGTGTGAAGCACCCTTTAAGGGGCCTCGCAAGTTGGAGTAAGGTTTTGGGTGTATTGTTATACTATAAATATAGAAGGACTATGGAAAGGAATATGCTGGAGCCTATAAGATAGCCCTAAACCCCAGAAATGAGTTCGCCAAGCCCTAAAAAGACCCTAATCCCACCCAAAGCGCTCGACTCCAAGCGTTCGGCCCGAGCTCCAGAAACCCGAGGGCATGCACACTCGAAATCCCTTTACAAACCGACTTGTTCATCCCCTACCTTACTAAAGGGATCTAAAGGGGCCCTTCATCAGGAACCCGTAGTTCGGGGGTAATGCAATCTCTGCGTTTTTGGGCTAAGCCCGAACCCCCAAACTGCGAGAAATCGTCTCGGGGGCCTTGCAGCAGCGTCCGGACTGGCTCCATGGCGCGCTTCAGTGCGCCTGGGGAGAGCACAGCTGAAGTTTGTGCCGGATTTACGGGCTCACGATTCAGAAAACTACCGAATCCCAAGCAAAAATCAGAATCCGGCGCAAGGTTTTGGGGTTCATGCTTCGGGGTCGCCGAGCTTGGCTGCTCAGAGGCCATCCCATCAGACACAACGTATTTTCGACCCCTGAGCCCCATTCGGTGTGCAAGATTTGGGAGCACTTGCAGTTTTGGAGGGTTTAGGGTTCAGGGTTTTTTTGCCTCCTACTTAGGGTTCAGGGTTTAGGGTTTAGGGTTTAGGGTTTTGGCTCAAGAAAAGTGAAGCTTCAAAACCTATTGCAGCAGGCCTCTCTCATCTGGGAAAGCCGTCGCCCTCTAAGACACTTTATTACCCTCCATTGCTCTAGATTACCCTCTACATCCCCAGAATTTAACTGGTTCCTTGTTGGAGCTATATGAAAAATGATCATTTTTAATCCTTATTGGGTATTATTATAACAGAAATGCATAATGGTCGCCAACAAGGACCCAATTAAGCCCTCCTCGCAAACCTGCTGCCCGGCGGCCCATTCGAGTCGTGAGCTCGGCTCCAAGGGTGATGCGCTCTTTGAGCTTCTTCTGCTCGCTTTGCTTGTCAGCTTCGAGTACCTGAAGTGAGACTTTCAGGAAATCGAAATCAAATCAGACTCCTCGCAAGTTTCAGAAAATCAAGGATCCCAATTAACATCCACAAAGGAAGATCCCGAGAAGCTTCAGGAAATCAGGGGTCCTAAAATAGCCCCTGGGTCTATACTTGTGCAGTGGGGCCGGCAGAGACCTTGCTGGTTGTCTGGGGGGTGTCGTGACGTCTTCTTTGTCATACTGCGGGTAAGTGCATCTAGGATAGTCTTCCGTGTGCCGGTGCAATAGATGCTGCCGTGAAGGCTTCTGCTTCTAGTGTCTATGGTGGCCCCACAGTCCCATGCTTCACTGCTCCTGGTCAACTGCCGCAGGTGCTACCGTACAGCATCTTCAAGTGAGCTTTTCTGAAACACTTCCTCCTAAAACCTGAAGAACCTAGCACTGTGGGGGAAGGTTTTCATCAGACGATACACGGCTGGACCCTCTTACCGGCAGGGGTTCAGCGTTTATCCTGGCATGTGATTGTCGAATTTAAAGACTGTGCGGTGCAACCCCACCGCGACAACGACGGGGTCAGGGTCTGGGATGGCATAAACCCGACTCCTTTAAGTTGTAATTTGCCAGGGCCTGGCTGTTGACATAGTCGGCTTTACTTGAGATGCAGCAAGGCGCTGGTCTGCAGCGCTATTCTAGTTCCTAGATCGGACCTTCAGGAGTTTACTGTCTTTTCGCAGCCATCATAAAGATCGTTTGGGAGTTGCCTTGAGGCGCTCTTCCAAAGAGATCCGCTCTTTGAGTTCAGCATCGATGAGAGCTGTCAATTCCTGAGTCGGTTGCAGTTGTAGAGATTGGGGCTTTGTTCTGAATTGGTATATGGGTAGTTGTCAAAATTATGGTCCCTTTTTGGGCACCCTAAATATTAGGTGCCGTATTATTATAAGGACCCAAAAAGGGACCCTAATTTTGACAACCACCCATATGTGTGCAGTTGAGTTCTGAGGAGAGATTATCGAGGTTAGTTGATGCTGATGTCAGTCGAAATTCGAAGCCCCGGGCTCTCGGCAGCCCCTGAGTCCCGACGATCGCGCGACTGCAGCATGAACTGCAATGAACTTTGGTAGTGGAAATCTATGTAAACTGACACGTCTAGTACATATACATAGATACACACATGTATCTATCTATCTATATGTATATATGTATATTATGTATATTATGTATATATGATCAAAACTTACTGTTTCGCGCCTGGTCATGGATGATTTGGGGGTCCTACCGCTTTACAAGGATCCGGTCGTTTTTGTTTCTATGGGACATCGCTTCACTCAACTCTGGTCAGATTCATAATAGTAGTAGTAAGAGTCTAATGCGAAAGTCGCAATAGTTATATGGGCCATAGTAGTGGTAGTGATCTCACAACTATAAACTATAATAGTGAGATCAACAGTAACAATAATTGATCCTATCAGATGGGGCAGTGGCTCATAAAACGGTCTGGTGGGTACCGACTGGGTATCGATTGCCTAGCCACATATCACACGGAAAATTTAGGCACAAATGCCGCGGCAGCTCTGGACTGTCACAACAGATGATCTTCCTTGATCGCATCGTTTCCTGTCGCTTTTCGAGGAATTTGGTCACATCTGCCATTCCACGACCACCCTACTGTTAACTACAAGTGCAAAATTTTAACAAACGCTCATACATGTATCGTATGTACATGTACATGTCTGTATGTATGCATGTATGCAGGTATGCATGTGTGTATGCATGTATGCATGTATGCATGCATGCATGCATGTATGTGCGTATGTATGTATGTATGTATGTATGTATGTATGTATGTATGTATGTATGTACGGATGTATGTATGTATGCATGTTTGTATGTATCTCTGTATGTATGTATGTATGTATGTATGCATGCATGTATGCATGCATGCATGCATGCATGCATGCATGCATATATATATATATATGTATGTATGTATGTATGTATATTTATGTGTGTGTGAAGGTGTGTGCGCTTGCGTGTGCATATGTTGATTTTCTTTTTTGGCTGGAGGAGATGTTTCGTAGCGGCGCCCCTATGTCGTTCCCTCATGTTCTTACCGGCAGAAACCCTCGATCTCTTTGGAGTGCAGATCGAACTGGACCGTGTTATAAACGTGCTTGATCTCGTTTTAAGCTGTGCTCTTATCACCTCCCAAGTAGAGCGAGTCCCGAAGACAAAACCAATGATGCCTGCAGACAACTGTAGCATTGCGCTAACGAAAGCAGTTGCTCAAGTATCTAATCGCAACCACGGATGTTTATGGTGGAGGGGTTGCACTTATTTTAGGGGCTCTGGGCAACGAGCGTAGGGAGGACCGATAACATGGGGCTCTCCGCGGGGCTTGCACCGCATGTTCCCGACAGAGCCCTGAGATCGCAGGTAACAAATGACACTTTCAACCTTTAGAAATGCTCCACCCGCCGTACCGGAGGATTTGCAGCCCAGTCTCCGCCTCTGGAACCTTCTCATCGTCTTCTTTGGCCTGTGCCAGGAGACAACAGGCCGCACGTATTGGCATATACATGCATATATATATATATATGTGTGTGTGTGTGTGTTGTACATGTGGTGTGCAGTCGCTGTCCCTTCCGATGGAAACCACAGCAAGAGCTCTGCTTCTTCTCTTCCTCCCATGCCACGAAAGTCACACTAGCAATACCATGGCAAATACAATGCCGGCCCCTGTGGGAATCCCACTACCAGTATGGTCCTTGCAACGAAAGTCACACTAGCAACAGCATGGCACATGCAATATAGGCCACTGTGGGAATCCCACAACCAGTATCGTCCTTAGACCAAGGGGGGGTTGCATGGGCTTACTACTCATGGATCGAGTGTTCCAACAATGATGTCTCCTTGTCCCCACCTGAAAGCCATCAATGAGAGGGCGCAGCTTGTCCAAGTCGGGAGTCGGCAAATACCGGCACCTGCTGTCTGCTGCCAGTTTTCACTAAGTGAGATGGTAAAGTTTAGAGTCAGGAGTACTGTTTGTTCGGTTTCGAACACTGATTCACAGGTCAGTAGGCTCACAAGGCCGTAGGCTTAGAGATGCTCCTTGGAAAAGGTGCTGGGATACGCCTGATCTACCACGAATGGCTTCCCCGTGATCTGCCGTGCTAAACCTCCACTATCGTTCCGGACGCGTGCCTGCCAGCAGCCATGCGGCATACGGCACCTGGCCAGCAACTGAACTAGACTAGCAGTTAGACTCACCTCGATTGCAAGCAATATTTGTGCGAATGCCACTTCTTTTTTGCTACACCCGTACAATAGTTACAAGCATGGCATTGTGCCGATCCAGGATGTCAGAGCTTCATGTTTATGCTTCATGAGAGATCTGAACAGGCAAAGACTCGATAACTGCTCCCCAAACCCTAATCCCTAAACCCGAACTTCTGCCTATAGACGGTCCCGGCAGGCTCTGAATTGAGCATAGACACTCTCGTACTTCCGCGTCTGCATGTTTGTATACTCCGTCTCCTGTGATAAGGGAGCTTGACCCGGAACCCCTTAGAGGCTTCGGGCTCTCGGTCTACTGTGCTTGCGAACTCTGCAGGGCACGGCTTCGACGCCGTTACCTTGCACGGATGGTATCGACCTTGTGTGGAGCTACGAAGCCTCGTACATGGTAGACCCTTTCATCTTCATGATGAGCTTTTGTAGAGCATTCGAACATGAATTTTTCATCAGCAGGGCATGTTGACCCCCAGATCGAGAAATATGAGCGATGAGGCAATGGGGATAACAGAGGGAGTGCCAAGCGCGCTACTAGCAGGTGCCAGGGTTGGCAGTACTGGGATTCACAGCTGATCCGATCATTTTCGCTTTGTGCCGGCAGGGACGCGACGTCGGACCTGAGGCCCAAAAGGTTTGCGCCTGTCTTTTCGACAGGTTCCTGCCCTACGCGTAGCTATTCGTTGCTACTGGTACCGAACTTCCACAGCCTGTTTGACTCAGGAGCTACGGCCCCTTCCCACCACAGGAGGATGCGCTAAAGCATGTGTTGGAATTGTAGCCACAGAGCTTCTAGCACGTGATGTCTGATTACATCCCGGCCGAACTGTAAGACTTCGAACTTAATCCCTGAACCCAAAGCACTTAGACAAAAAACTACACCCTAGAAACCCGAATCCCTGAACCTGTAAGCCGCATATTCCACTGCCCAGTTTCGGTGAGCTTCCGGGCGGCGACCTCTGCCAATCGCCGAGTTTCCTCAGCCAGGGCAATCTTCATGAAAGGGATGAACCACCAGTTACGCGGGTTAGGGCTGTGTGCATACGTCATCTTCATATTTGTGTGTATATATATATATAGATGTGTGTGTGTGTACGTATGTGTGTATATGTACATATACAACATAATTGCTTAGTTATGTGCTTACTCCCTTTCAGCTATATATGTAGGTCTATAGTGCCCCCCTTTGTTGCGCCTCGTGCTGGGGAGGGTTTCGAGCCCAAGGGCTCGTAGGATCTCCAAAGAGGCTCACAGAACCTGTGGTTTAAGGCTCGGCTAGTTAAGGAAGATACCTTGATGTGGGTAGTTGTCAAAATTATGGTCCCTTTTGGGGTACCCGTATTATAATAAGGACGAAACAGGGACCATAATTTTGACAACTACCCATGTATAAAGGGCTTCTTATTTCAGCCTGCAGAAGGCCTGCAGTCTTGCATTTTCGACTCAAGAAACTTCCTGGGGCTGATCTTGCCAAGAAGGCAGTCCAACTACGACATACTGACAACTCCTTGCAAGTCATTACATACCCTCACGAGTGCATACGCTTGCTGATACTTGCCGTTCGCCTGTATGAAGCGACTTAGTTCAAGAGAACGATGCTTGCCAAGGTCTCAAGCTGAAACATCCCGCGTTGAGGCAAGATCATCGCCACATATATGGAAGTCGGCTGAGGCGTTGAGATGTTACTGCCGGCCCTGCGTGCTTCGAGAACGGACTGCATTACTATAGGTCATGTCGCGGTTGAGAATCAAGGCCCTGGCAGATTTAGGGCTCCCCGAACTTCCGGGTCCCTTCACACCGAAACCTGAGGCATCCTGGACCAAGCCAAGCTGCTGAGAACTTGATCATGGCTCTGTGCGCGCGCCTGATGAACCCGTGCCCTTCCCGACTTCGTCTAGGTTCCTGAAGTATTTCAACTGAAGGCTCTGCCGGCAGTCAATTGGCAAACCATTTCCCTGAGGCCCTGCTAGGATGCGAAGAAATGGATCCTCAAACCTGGATGCTGCCGCCCTTTGCCTTCAACGGTTGTGATAGCGAGAACGGCGGTCATAACAACAACAATGCCGTCAGCAGTGCCCGTAAGAGTGGACAAATCGCCGTCGTTGCAATAGTAGTCGTCGTCGCAGCAGCAGGAGTAGTAGTAGTAGTAGTAGTAGTAGTAGTACTACTACTACTACTACTACTAGTAGTAGTAGTAGTAGTAGTAGTAGTACTAGTGGAAGTAGTAGTAGTAGTAGTAGTAGTAGCAGCAGTAG